AATCTTTACTGGGCCCCCTGATTTCACATATTTTTATATTGAAAATAAAAATTATTATTTTAATTTATTACTATTATTTATTAAAAAAAATATTTGTAAACGAAAAATAACAATAACAACTTTTTTACAAAATGCGAAAGAATATTTTTTTTAAATAAGGTTCTCCACTTTTTTTTATACAGTTCAACACGATTTACCTCCCATGAAAAAATTTAACAGATTTTTTATACAGCCATTCCTATTATTTTAACATATACATATATTTAATTTTCTATTTTGTTATAAATTATTTTTTCAAATATTGAATGTTTTAAATAATAGAAAAATTATACTTAAAAAAAATTTTTTTAAATAAAAATTCTATAAATAAAAATAAAAAAAAATTAATTTTTGATTTTTTTAAAATAAAATTTATTCATTAAATAAAATTTTTCAAAAACTATACATTTAGCTGTTATTGAAGCCGTGATCTGAAAACACGCCGAGACACGGGTATCATTTTTTAAGTCTATTTTCAAAATCTGTAATCTTGAGAAAATAATTTAAATTTTGTCATACTACTAAAATAATAGAAAAATAATATCATATTTTTATAACATACAAAGATAACTAGCAATCTAAGCAATCTTAGAATGTTTCCATAATTTTTAAGCGTCGCGTCAAGTTTTTTGTTTTGCGGAAATAAGTTTTTTAATGTTTTGGGGCAAGTATAGGCCTGGCCCCCACAAGGCTAGGGCCCCCCGCGGTGGCGGGCGTTCGCGGTAGTGTCGCTACGCTACTGTTCTCTCTTCTAATCTGTCGCAAAATTTGCTTTACATTAATTTCAGAAATTAATTGATGATTTTATTTTTATGTCATTTCATAGCTGGTTTGCCAGAACGGTTGCACCCAAAAATGGGTAAAATTGATAATTTTATAAAGACATATTAGTAATATTAAGAGTAAATGATAATTGAACGGGCAAGAGAATGATATTTTTTTTATAATAAAGGGCAAACAAAATTGTTATTGCAATACCAAATTTATTTTAATTTATAATCACAATATTGTATTTTTTTCTACTTTAATAAAAAAAATTTACTTTACCCCTTGAATAAGATCACATGTCTCAATATTCAGGCACTGTATAATAATGTAAATTAAATTTAAAAAACTCGTTATGCCAAAATTATTCTTGTCACAATTTATATTCCTAAAAAAACAGCAATCACATGAAATGTGTAAAAATGGATTTTTTGTTTTGTACACCCAAAAACGAACTTTATGTAAATATTGTAATTGTTCCGTACTGACACGGTTTACAAATTTTCTTTCAAGGAAAGTAACGTAGTTTTATATATTTTACAATTTTATTTTAGAATAAATTTGAAATTTCTAAATTATCGTGTTAAAGACAAAAAGTTTTGCAAAAGTGGTAAAAAGGGACACTTACGTAAAGGAATTACAGGTTTTTCGAACTTTGCCTAAAAATCTGGCGTCCAGATGGTTCAAGAAACGATGGTCCAGGTACACGAATAGAGTAAAGGGAAGCAAAAAACAGGCAGAAAGTTTTTGGAAGTGTTAGCGAACGGATCGTTTCTTGTAAATTTTTGCTAGAACGAAATTTATTGCAAAGTTATATTTAAATTATTGTTACGATTGTTTGTGTATTCTCCAAGGTTAGTTTTTAATTTAGAATATTTAAAACGAAAAGTAAAATAAATGTGATGACAATAAATATTTTATTCGAAACATCTGACTTATTATTTCGACAAAGGACTTCCTAAAGCGAGCAATATTTTAGTAAAACACTAACTTTAAAACAAAGGTATTATATATCTGTATAGTGTCAGAACGCATATATACTTAAAAAATATATAAGGTGCCATTAATTCACATTAAGCGCCAAAAATATTGGGTGCGGGAACGTCAATGTAGTTTTTGGTGTCACTTGGTACTTTTACGCGTATATATATATATATATATATTTATATATATATATACATACCTATATATACATACCTATATATACATACCTATATATATATATATATAGCGAATTGCGAATATATATATATATAGCGAATTGCTGTGGTCATTTTCACTAGAACACATGTTAGGCTTATTGTTGCGCATTAATTTATAAAAAAAAATACATTTAAGTGTATATCTCCACAACGGCTACATACGCGATTTTAATTTTTCTTACAAAGTAAAGCTAATAATATCACTATTTAGAAAAAAAATGTTTGGAAGATTATATATTTTTTAAGTTGAAAACGCCAAATGTACCAACGTGCCTACCGTCAGACATAAATACGTAAAAATATTTATTTTTTCAAATTTTGCCCGTGTGAAAAATTCTCTATAAACGATATTTTTTATAAAGTAAAGATAAATATTTAAAATAAACTTTAAAATCTAAAAGAAAACAAAATAAAAAAGTTACAAACTCTTAAAAATACATTTTTACTCTCGGTGAACAATATTTTTCTTTTGTAATACCTCAGTTATTATTTATGAGAATTATTTGTTAATTATTATTTTTTATTAAAAGGGTGCATGCTGTGATATTATATAAATTTTTTGTATAAAATTTGCATTTATTGTATTTATAAATACCTTAAAAACACACAAAAAGCCCAGCACAATGAAAATATTTCAAATTATTAAATTTCAAATAAGTTCACAAAGAAGTTTAATATCAACTAAAATAATATATTAGTTTGCCTAAAAACAAAGCGAAATCCTGATAAATAAAAAGAGACCGCACATTGCGACGCGTGCCATTGATCCTTTGTCTGCAACATTTTGGGGGCGCAAAATCAAAGAGTCAATCGGTACTTTGTAACGACAAACTTTTTTGCATATAAAAATATATAGGCCTTTTGCCGCTTTAATATTAGCAACTTAATTTTTTTTGTTGATATAAGTAAAATAAAAGGAAAGAAATTGTCATAATATTTTTAGTATTTGTTTGATAGTTGCAGTTGACGGTAGGAAAGTTTAACATATTATCTTTTATGCTTCGAATGGTAGGTTAGGTACCATATAGAAAAGTTTATGATACCTACTATGATCAAAATTAGTAAACTAAAAAAAAATTTAAATTTATAAATAAATATAATTTTAGCTCCATCTATGGCGATTTTTTTTAATAAATATGTAAGAATTGTATGTTATATTATATATATTTATATAATATATTATATGTAATATATAATGTTTAATATGTAATATATAATACATCTCTCGTAGAAACATAATTTGCATGTAGAAGTTTATGTATGAAATAATAGTTAATTATCAGTACTTTACCATGATATACTCAAAATTATTAAACAAAGTTGCTTTTTCGATTTTTTAACCCTTAAAAAATGGTAAAATTTTAATTAAATTATCCCCAGCGCCCCCTGTATGTTAAAATCTAAAAAAAATAATACGTGGATTTATTGCCATTAATAAGGTCTCAATTTTTTCTTAATTTCAAATCGATACGTTTTTAAATAAAAATGTTATTACAAAAAATCGAAATTAATCTATTTTTAACACAGTAGAGTGACTTAAGACCTAAAAACCACAGCGGTCAATGGATGATTTGTTTTTTGAAAAAAATGCACCATGTATATGTAGAAACAACCAGTGGCGGCTGCTACAGGGAGGGTAACAGGGCAGTGACCTCCCGAGTCCCCCCGATGCTACTCAAAAATTAATTTATTTGTTATGTTACACCCTAACAAACTTTTTAAATGTAATTCTCAATATTAACTTTAGGAAGGTTAATACGGGTAAATTTTTTAGGATGGATAGTTACAAGCCAGGCGGATTCAAATCTGCACTGTTAGTCTGACGTATCGATGAAGGCGGGGGTGTGCGGCGTGCGGGCGGAATATATCTGTTTCAGTAGGCGTCAGCCATCATAATCGTGCGAAATAGTAAGATGCCCGTCAGCGCGTTACCGATGTAATCAGTTTACTTTGTTCTGAGGAAGGTCAGTTAGTCAAAAATCCCGCCGGTCGTCGTGTCGTGGTGCGTGTTATTGTTATTTTTAAAATGGAGATAAATACCGTAGTTTATATAATTACTTGTGTTAATTTTAATATGGGTTTATGGGTCTCACATCTTACATACATCGGTAAGTTTATTATCCAATTTTTGCATGTATATAAATTTCTGCCCCCGCAATTTAATATGTCACCAGCCGCCACTGGTTAAAAAAATATATTCAATTCTGGCATCACTTGCAAACAAATGTACAAAATTTGTTCGTTTTCACGCGAAACCATTGTTAATTTATAATTATTTACCCTCGAAACACATTTTTGTGGGTCCCTTAAAGACCTTGTAATTTCGGCAAAATCCAAGCAATTATAAAAAGATATATCTAAATAATTATAGTTACAAACATTACTAACATGAAATTTTTTAAAGACCAACTTTTCTGAAAGTATCTTTTTTTTAGATACTTCGCACACACCTATAAGGAATCCGAATAAAAATAATAACAGATTTCTGGTAGTATATTATAAACACTTCAGTTGTTACAAATCAGAATAAAGTAGGCAGAAAAATATGATGCAGACGTTAAAGTCAGTTGAACTTAATGCGTGTTGTGCTGAAGCTGAGTTGTTGATGACAAAAAAGTCAGTAGAAAATGTATTGATTGGCTATACAAAACTTTCGATAAAATATTTTCCTTTGTTAAAATAATAATAACATTATACAAAAAATTATGTTAAAATTTTACAAAATAACAATATGATTTTTATATAACAGTGTATCGTTAAAATGTTTGCTAAACATAAGCTAAAACAGTATTTTTCTAATTAAATTTACGTGCATGATTATTTACCTAAACATTTTACGTAAGTTTGTGTATATCGTTAATTAAAACATTTTTTCCAATTTAATTACTAAACATCGGGGTTTGTATTTCTGGACAATTTAAAAAAGGTCTGTTAATACAAAACGGTAAAAGCTTATTTCCCCTGGGACGGAGAAGTTGTATTAAATAAACTCACCTTTGGAATACATGGAAGAGCTTCTTTTAGTGTATTCCTGTAAAAATGATTTTTTTGTGTGGGATCCTTCATTTTTATTACGTCAAGAAACTGCAAAGCGTGAACTGCTGAATCGCTGAAACAACCAAATTAATTGTTAGTTGTGTGACAACTATTTTCATCAATTGTTTTGTATCAAATAAAAATTATACTTTTTCAAAGTTTTAATTGAATATAAAAGTTGATTCTGTAAATTTCAATTTATGGGAGTATATATGTCTAAATTAAAACACCTTTAAAAAAAACAACCATTAATAAAAGACATAAAAATGTTTAGTAAAAATAAACTCCCTGAACAAGTTTAAATTACATTGTTATAATGATGCTTAGGAAGTTATAATTGCACTTTACGACATACAATTTGTAATAAATAAAGGAATATCCTTAAGCTACTAACATAATATTATATCTTGCAAGTGCAAGTTTAAATATTAAGTTTAAAATTTTTATAATTTATTATTATTTATTATAATACCTACCTACCTTAAATTTAAAAAGAAAATAAGTTTTTTTGTTCTATTTCATAATAATATTTTATATATTTTGGGATTTTTAGATTAAAATTTAATTAATATTGGTTTTTTGCACATTTAACTTTAATATACATTCAGCCAGTTCAGAATAAAACCGAATATATCTATATATATATGGGGCGTGGCCTCGCTTCCCTCCAAGGCTTCTCACAGTAGCTTGTGTGATAAACGACAAGACGAAAGGTCGAGCAGGTACCTAAGACGACGAAAAATTAAATGATAATAATGCAAAAAATCTCATTAGCGATGCAGTCTATTTGCTTAGCTACTGTGTCGCGCGTTGGAGGGAGGCGAGGCCACGCCCCATATATATATATAGATATATTCGGTTTTTCTCTAAACGGGGTGTATATTTTGTAGTTTATTGTGGTAAATTTGGATAATTCGAGGGTAGGTCAATATCGAAGAATGGTAGCAGAACCAAGGGCGTAGATATTTTTTTCTTTTGGCAGGAGGTAACAAAATATATTATAAGGAAAATAATTTTGCAAAACTCCTTATTGTTTATTTGCTTTTGTATATTGGGGAAAAGGATTATTAGGTAGCAAAACTTAATACCTCATAAACATGAACATACATATTAGGGTGTTCCAAAAAAAGTCGATAATTTTTTTTTAATTCCATGTGAAATTCTTGTTATATATGCTATAAAAAAAATTCTGTAAAAATTTGAGCCCTTAATATCAACTTGAAGAACTCCATCATCGAATTTTAAGATTTTCCATTGATTTAACATGGAATAGTACATTCTGTAACAAGTTTGGAATACAGCATATTCTGCTCGAGGAAAAATTTGACACACGAGCCGAAGGCGAGTGTGACGGTTTTACGAGAGTGGAATATGCTATTCCAAACGTGTTTCAGACATTATTTTCTCTACGACTACGTAAGAATAGTAACGCTTATATAATTTTAACCAGAGAAAAGAAACCAAGCAGTTTTTGACATTTAAGTTTTTTGTATTGTCAAACCATTTTGTGCCGTCACAATTTTATAATGTAAATTATAATAAATTTAAACAAATGGTATGCCTAAATCTTTATTATAATTAAAAATAGTTATTTACACTAACTAATAAAAAAAAATAACATTGTAACAAATACAAAACTAATTTTACAAGTAATCTATGTCAACATCTATTCTTTTTCTACATTTTAAATGTCTTTTTTTAAACTTTTTGAATCTGTCAAAACTTCAAAGCCGGTATAGTAGGTAACTGGTTTATCATTTTAATATCAAATTTATTATAATTTTGATTTGTATATTTGAAAAACAATAAATATAACTAATTTTTTGTGCCTTAACCTTAATTATACAACTGCTATTATTTTTTTATTAATAAATAATACAGTAATATTTAAATATTTTTAAATTTTTTACGTTTAGTAAACAGCCAGAAGATGTCGTTACTTGTGACCATTCTTAAACAAGAGTGGGAATATTCTCGCACAGTATTGCAAAAAAACATCCTTTCTATGATCAAAAATTACACTACTACTACACACTGTTACTATTCTTAAGTAGTCGTAGAGAAAAATGATTTTTTAACCTTCATTTCTCCTGCAAACTATGTAGAACATTATTTTTCGGAAAAACAATCACTGATCCTTCTTCAGAATTAAATTCTGTAAAAAAAAGTTCTTAGGGTCCAGTCTCTAACGTCAACCCTCTCGTTTTTATTTGTGTTGAAAAATATAGATTTTTTGAAATTTCGATTTTTTCCATTTAATGTGTAAAATTTTGATCTCAGACCATAAAGTTTGAGAAAATTTTAGTAGATCGTTCAATGTTTCACAAATATATCGCTAGTAACAAATTCTGAAAAAGATTCGAATTCAAATTTAAAAATTAATTGAGTTATATCTCAATTGTTATAGGATATAATATAATATAATATGCAAATAAAAAAAATTACAAAATAAAAATTTGTCATTTATCACATAGATTTTATTTGAAACAATTTTTTTTGTTTTTTGGTGCATGTTTAAGTCAAAATTTAATTTTTAATTTAATTTTTTTAAGCGTGTTACCGGATAGTAGAAAATTAATATTAATATTAATATAGAAATTAAAGTTTATGAAAGAATCACACATAATTTTTCCCTGCAATGTATAATAAAGCTTACTTCAGCCCGTGACTAAAATGCCTAAAAGCTACTGTTGTTAACTTCAGCCCGTGACTAAAACGCCAAAAGGCATAACTTGTCAATGTAGGAGTAGATAATAGTATATTATGTATCAAGTTTGATAAACGCCATTTTATACACGAATTTAATTTAGGCACGAGCAAGCTTGCGAGCGAGTGCTTAAGTTAATGAGTGTATAGAAAAGTTTATAAACGAGGTGCATACTATACTTTTTCTACGACAAATACTTATTATTATCTTAAAATGATTTAAATCAAAAAAACTGTCAAATGTCACATTTTTACATTTTATAAACACAATTATAAAGGTTATAAATCGAAATGTGTCTTGAAAATTGACAGTTTTTCACAGTGAAAGTAAAGGAAATGTTTTATGAGGACTTTACAGTAGAGTCCGTGCCCGAATTTAAGTTATAGTTTACTGCCGGCGAAATTAAAAGGTCAGTACAATGTTCATATAAACTTTTCAAATATTGGCGTTGAGAAACTATTTAATATTTTTGTATTTTTGTATTGAGATAATAAAATAATTTTCACATTTAGTATTATTTTACAAGAAAGGCACTTTATTTTAACGATTGTATGACATTTGACAACTGTCAACTAACTTAAAACTAACTTCATCCCGTGACTAAAAACCTGTTGCTAACTTCAGCCCGTGACTAAAGCGCCGTAAAGCCACAACTTGTCAATGTGTATTTAAAAGGTCACTTAGTGTCATGGAAACATGTACGATAAAGGACGTTTTAAAGGTGGGAGTAGAAAAACACTTTTAATTAAAAGCCAAAACACCAAGAATAAATAAAGGTTCATAATATGACTACGTCTGATCGACCAGTTTTCAATGTTACTTACAGAAAATAAAGGACGTTTTAAAGGTGGGAGTAGAAAAACACTTTTAATTAAAAGCCAAAACACCAAGAATAAATAAAGGTTCATATTATGACTACGTCTGATCGACCAGTTTTCAATGTTACTTACAGAAAATTTAGTAAAATAGGTCTAAAATTGCCGTCTTGTTAAAAGGAACTAACACAGGAATTTTATGTATAATTATTTTATATAAATTAGCTATAGCTATATATAAAAGACGACAGTTACAAATTCCACTTGCTTCTATAGACACCACAAACATTTAATAAAACTTCCTATTTACCATGATTTATTTAAACAGACACAGATTAATAAGTAAGTCATCCCTTTCATTAAGTTATTTGGGTGTTTCCTAAATTTTCCACATAATCGTTAAAGTTTGCGAGCTTCATACGCGATTATATTTTTGCGTCTACAAGTTAAGTAAATTTAGTCTGTAAAAGACTATGGAGAATATAAGGATCGTAAACCTCTTAATGTCAGAAACCGCTAACTTAGCTGGTTTTCAACATAGTAAACTTCATGACCCTTTGAAATATGCGTGTGGTCAATCCTAGTGTCTGCTAAGGATGCTCATGGGATTTAAAAAAGTTTCAACCCTTTATTTTATGTTCTGGATAATCCCAATTTAAAATTATTATAATTATAAATTAATAACTATTAATAACTTAATAATTATTGATAAATTAATAACTATTATAAATTCTTAACACGGAGTGCTTTATTATAATAAGTGAATTTGTATTTTACAAATTCACTTTCCTAGATATTCTCAAAATCCATTTTAGATAGAATATTTTACCATATTTGTTAAACATATGGATATAGGAGTTTTATTTAATATAATCTATATGGATATAAAAGTTTTATTTAATATAATCTATATTACATTAATTAAATCATTAAACATCTTCTTCTGTGGAAAGAATTATTAATAATAAAAACTTGAATATAAAAAACAATAGTTTGCTTTAAAAAAATCTACGCAAACTGTCGAAATCGATAATTTTATTAAAACTCAATACCAAAATTTTAAAAAATATTGTTTAAAACAGTAAAAATATGTCAAAAACAGCATGGAACCCAATAAGAAAAAACTGCTTTACTTAAAGAAATATAATTTAAATCCCAATGAATTTGTACATGCTAACGTCAGTGGCGGCTGGTGGATTTTGGGTATACCAATATTTCAGTTATTAGACATGGGACTCACACCAAATTTATAATAGTTTATAATGACATTATAGTAGATAATAAATTGCACCACTTTAATTTGAATTATATTAATAGGGGGGCCTGGAGGCGGGTGAGGCGACAGGAAAAACTAACTTTTTTTTTATTTATAATTTAAATTCTGTTTGCGCCGAACTTGTTTATTTAATGTCATTATAAACTATTCTAAATTTGGTGTGGGTCCCATGTCTAATAACTGAGATATTGGTATACATAAAATCCACCAGCCGCCACTGGCTAACGTCAAACATTTTCAAAATTTTTGTAATGAATCCTGTCCGATTTCTTCCT